GTCCGGGACATGGCGGCTTGCTCTTCCTCCCCCCCCCCCAGTGGTGAGTGCATATGTCCTATAGCAAATTAAAAAGTGATTCCTAAATAAGTAAATAATTATTTTAAAAAAGAAGTAAGTACAGTAAAATTCTTTTTAAAATGATTGCGACGCCGACTTCCCTATGTTCAGTTTGAGGAAAATAGTCAGTCTAAAGGACAAGTAGATGCCACCGTCTAAATAGTAATGAGGGATGATAACGAAGAGCCTCTCCCCTCCTCATCCGAACACATATTTTTAAAAAATAGAAACAAAAAGCTATAACTAAATGACATTCTAGAATTGGCCGCACTGGGGAGACAGCATGAAGATCGGTGGTGGCACAGTAACCCTCCCCCCAACCCCGCCAGTAAAGGGCCTTGAAGTAAATGGATTAAATTCTCCAGATAAACCATTCAAGCGAATGAAAGCCTGCATTCAAGCAGCGTGGCTGAGCCACAGGACATTGTATTCGGTGAGATGCATCGGGCACAGGGAGAGAGAAAGTCTTGTGTGCAAACTAGAAGGAGTGCAAGAGTGGATGCCCGAGGTGGGCAGGGCTGCGGAGAGGGAGAGGGCGGGGTTGTTAGTGGATACAGAGGAACAGCTAGATCAGAGGAGCAAAGCCAGAGGAGCAAAGCCGGTGTCCTGGGACCAGCAGTTAGCATAATGGCTATGTCACTGGACTCCCACGTAGTCGACCGCGGTTCACGTCCCGGACCCGGTGACTTGCAACTCACACCGGGCACTTGTGCGTGCGTGCCTAAGATCCCAAGAGGAGAATGGAGGAGAAGGGATTGTGGTGTGGCCATCCCCCCGGGGGGTGATTTCTCGCTTTCTGTCTCTCTGTCTCTCTCTGTCTGTTTGGCGAGCACACACACCTTATAGCAAAAAAAGAAAAAAAAAAAAGCAGGTGTCCTGGAGCAAAGTGGGGTAACCATACTTGGCAATAACTCACCGGATATACAGAAAGAGCTAAAAGAGGATACTGACTGACTGCAGCACCAAGTAAGATAAATCCGGGCGGTGATGGAAATGCTAGTTACCCCAACTGCCCGTTACACATCGGATCCCTGTGCTGCAGAATCACACTGTACCCCGTAAATATGCAGTTACGACGTGTACGTTTAAAATGACAAGATAAGCTAAGCTAAAATAGAGGAACGTGGATCTTCGAGGTTCGGTCTTGAATTTTCATACACATTTTAGAATCAACTTACCAGTTTCTGAAAAAAGGGTACCCGGGGTTTTCACAAAGATTGCATTGATCACTAGGGAAATAGTACCATCTGACAATATTAATGATGATAATTGGGTATATGCAGTTTACTTTCATTTATTCAGGCCTTCTTTAATCGACCATTTCAGCATGCAAGTCTTGCACCACTTTGGTTTAATTTATTCCTAAGTATTTTATCCTTTGGGGTACTATTATAAATGTAGTTATTTTCTTTTTTCTTTTTTCTTTTTTTGGAGAGGTTTTCGCTATAGGGCGCATGCGCTCGCCAGACAGACAGAGAGAGACATAGAGACAGAAAGCAAGAAATCACCCCCAGGGGGGATGGCCACGCCGCAATCCCTTCTCCTCCATTCTCCTCTTGGGATCTTGGGCACGCACGCACACGCGCCTGGCGTGAGTTTTAAGCCACCGGGTCCAGGACGCGAACCGCGGTCAACTAGGTGGGAGTTCAGCGACATAGCCATTACGCTAACTGCTGGTTCCCGATGTAGTTGTTTTCTTAATTTCATTTCCGTTACATTTTCTGTCTTCACATTCTCTATTCTCCTCTCTGCAAGCTGTCATCCTGAGTAAACATGTGGGTTTTTTTAAAAGATGCCTTCGGGGCCAGCAGGTGGATAAGGTGACGGATAAGGCCCTGGACTCCCACATGGCCAACCGCATTTCAAGTCCTGGACTCAGAGGCTTAAAAATCACAGCAGGCACATATGCGTCCATGCCCAAAAATCCCAGGAGGAGAATGGAGGAGGATTGTGGCGTGGCCACCCCTCCTTGGGGGTGATTTCTCACTTTCTCGCCCACTGCCTCTCTTTGGTGAGCACACGTGCCCTATGGCGAAAACCTTAATCATTATTTTTTAGTACTAAAAGGTGCCCTTCTAGATTCCTGCAGTTAGGAGGTGGGCTAGTGGACTGGGGCGAGGTCTCAGGAGACAGGGCCTGGCGGCTGACTGAGTACGGAGTTTCTGTGTCAATGGGATGGCGGAGAGTCCCGGAAACGCGCAGCCCTGAGGGTTGCTCAGTGTGTGCACCTCGTGCCACTGAATTGTCTGCCGAAAAATGAACTTTATGTTGTGTAAAATTTGTAAAAGTTTTAAAAAATGACACCCTCAGCTTGTCATTTGGGGTAGAAGCCATACGCATTGGGGGCCTTTAGAATTGAAGAATGCCTCTTTCTCAGGACCGTGCTATGCTTTGGTTTTTTGACTGAAATAAAGTGATTTATGGAAACTATGGTCAAAATCGAAAAGTTCCGCATGCTCTTTACGTACTGCTTTCAGTTCTGCATCTGCAGGGTGAAAAAAAAAAAAACTTCAGTCCTTTGACTGGTTTTGAGCCGGGAGATAGCTTTGCCCTCTTGGTGTTTGGCCGTGGAGGGTCACACAGATGACGGGGATGTTGTGACAGTCCCCAGCCGGCCCGTGGAGGAGCAGCTGGGGTCACTGTAGCTCAGCCGTGAGGCGGTTACTTTCTCCAGGACGGGGATATTGGACTGTGCTGAAATCCAATGACAACTTCTTTTATTAAAGGGTATATTGGCATAGGTTTCTCTCTCGGCTCCACTTGTTAACAGGTAGGCTTTCCCGGGCTCTGTTTTCCAGGAAGGCTGGGCTAAGACTTGTTCCCAGGAAAAGGAAAGTTTGTTACATGATGATGTCCAGGTGGCAGGACCTGGAGATCTTGTGTGATAAAGACGTCAGAACAGTTCCCACAAGAGGGCGGGAGGAGGGAGTGAAAGAAATGAAGAACAAAATGGACCGATTTGCAGTTTTGCTCACAGCCTCCATACCACGCTTTGTCAGCGCAACTTCAGACGTGTTGTGGGAATGGTAACAGACGCAGATGAGGAGACAGGGTGCAGCGTGTCCAGGGGTGGGCTAAGGCACTGCCGAATCTGTGTTCTGCGTCAGAGCTGGATTCTGGAATCCCGCTTCAGAGATGGGAGCTTTTCTCTAGCACTTTTGAGAAAGAATCTTAAAACTCTTACACTTCACATTCTCCAATTCCACAGGATGAGACAAATGATCTAGAATACCTGGTTCTAACGAAATGGCTACTTTTGGGGGTTGAAATCCCTCTGTACTTGGTCTCTACATAAAGTCACTAAGACGTCAGGAGTCTGGCCTGTGGTATATGTCGGCCCTGTGGTATAATTCTCCAGTTTTTTTTTTTTTTTTTTTTTTGAGAGGTTTTTGCTATAGGGCACGTGCGTGCGCCAGACAGAGGGAGATAGCGAGACAGAAAGCGAGAAATCACCCCCCAGGGGGGATGGTCACGCCGCAATCCCTTCTCCTCCATTCTCCTCTCAGGATCTTGGGCACGCACACACACCTGCCCGGCGTGAGTTTAAGCCACCGGGTCTGGGACGCGAACCGCAGTCGACTACATGGGAGTCTAGCAACATAGCCATTACGCTAACTGCTGGTTCCCTAGCTCTCCAGCTTTTGAAGGTGATCTCAAATGACTGCAGATACTCCTTTGGCACACACTCCCCGGGTACTGGCATTAGTCTCCGTAATGTTTCAACTGTAAAGAAATGGCCTAACCAGTGGTATGTTCTTGTTATGTACTTCCTTACTATTGCTTAAGCAAACAGTTTAGTTATCTTTCAATATCGTATATCAGCCCTTCACTTCATCCTTAGATGCAGGGGTGGATAGGTTTCTCCGTTATATGTCCAGAGCTGGTAGACTTTATCCTGCATAACAGACCTACAGCTTGTACATCGTATGCAAACTCACAAAGTGCTTCCTCCGTGTTAGTGTGTTAAGGAATATAGATGCACGAGGTGTTCCTGGAATTCCATGGCTCTCCAATGCCCAGAAACTTCTTGAATGGGCAAATGAAGTGAGAATTGATCCAAATAATCCAGAATATTCTGATTTAATGGAATTTATTATGGTAAGTTAGAGTACATGTCAATACTGTTTATATGTTCTCTTCCCTAAGCTCTGCTCTCTTCACTTCCCCACTGTTTGCTGTATATTTTTCTAGGTACCAGGGGACATAGGCAAATCTAAGGACGGATACGGTTTTTAACCTGTTTCCAGTATTGTAAAGGCAATTAGGAATTCAGCAACTAAGATAATTACTGCTTTAGGCCGATGGTTGCTACTCTGCCACTGCGAGCAGCCCCTGGCACAGCCAGCAGGCTAACCATCAGGCTGGTGTCCCCGGTGTTGCCAGCCGTACGATCACATGCCGAAGGTATCGGGTGGTTTACCAAGATGCCATACAGATGCACCCCTTCCCCAGACTCTGTCATCTGGGCACAAGAACCCTTTCTTAGAGCCGACCGAGCTGCTCTGTGTACCCTGACCTGCTTTCTTCACAGCGTGACTCATGCCTTTGCTCCGTCTACAAGGGCACCCATGGGCTATCTTCTCCACCCTGCGAGTCCAGTAGGCGCTTGCCTGTAACCTCAGTTGGACACGGGTTCTGCTTGCCTTGCCCTCTTAGAAAACTTTTTTGAAAAATGAATTCTTTTTTTTTTTTAAAGAAATATTTTTGCGAAAGTGCTCATGCACTTGTTGGAGACACAGAGAAACAGAAAGTGAGAAATCACCTCCTCAGGGGAGATGGCCATGACACAATCCCTTCTCCCTCATTCTTCTCTTGGGATTTTGGGCACATACACACACCCGCCTGGTGTGTTTTAAGCTGCCGAGTCCAGGACTTGAACTGCATCAACTACGTGGAGTCCAGTGATGTAACTATTACGCCATCTGCTGGTGCCTGAAAAATGAGTTCTTAGGACTGTCTTTATTCAGCCTCTTCCCATAGTTACTCAATCACACGTTTTATCTTTCCTTATGGAACTGCAAGAAATCAGTCTTTGCCTCTCTGATGACAGCCAGCACTGTTCCTTGTAGGTACCATGCAGTGGCTGCTGCACTCACCAAGCGACCACCAACCAGACTACTGCAGTCACGCTTCCCTAGAGTAGGGCTTCCCAAATGAGGCGCAGGTTTGGGTAACCCTAACTCTCTCGACTCTCAGGGAAACCAGATAGGAATAGTCTTTTTTTTTGAGAGAGAGATTTTTGGTATAGGGCGTGTGTGCTTGGCAGAAAGACAGAGAGAGACAGAGAGACAGAAAGTGAGAAATCACCCCCCAGGGGGGATGGCCACGCCGCAATCCCTTCTCCTCCATTCTCCTCTTGGGATCATGGGTACACACGCACACGCGCCCGGCGTGAGTTTAAGCCACTGGGTCCGGGACCGGAACTGCGGTCAACTACAGGGGAGTCCAGCGACATAGCCATTACGCTAACTGCTGGTCCCAGGAATAGTCTTATCTTTTAACTCAGTGTACAATTCTGTGAAAGTCATGCCTAGGAAAAAAATGTGAAGCTATGTAGGGTGGACTATGAACATGTGTGTGTGTGTGTGTAATACATATATACATATATAGGGTTGTTGGAAAAGTCATGACATATACTTTTCTGTTTTTCTGTGCAAAACTGCATCATGCCCTTCCCGACAACTCACTATATCACTCTATCACATTCTGTCCCTCTTCAGGCTCGATTGCTCCATTTCCCTATTTAAGTGGTCTCTTTTACATTTTACAGTTGAGTAATTAAGAATTGCTGAAATAGGGACCAGCAGTTAGCGTGATGGCTATGTCACTGGACTCCCATGTAGTCGACCGCGGTTCGTGTCCCGGACCCAGTGGCTTAAAACTCATGCTGGCGTGTGTGCATGCATGCCCAAGATCCCAAGAGGAGAATGGAGGAGAAGGGATTGCGGCGTGACCATCCTCCCTGGGGGGTGATTTCTTACTTTCTGTCTCTCTGTCTCTCTGTGTCTTACTGGCGAGCACACGTGCCCTATAGCAAAAACCTCTACCCCCCCCCAAAAAAAAGAAGAATTGCTGAAGTAATTCTGGAATTGAAAAATCAATATTTTAGGTAAAGCCTTTATATTTTTATGCTTTGCATACAGTACATGAGACATAAGGGACAGGACATCCCACAGTATTTCCGTCTCGAACAGTTGCAAGATGAATTTAACTTCGTTTCTGAAGAGGAAATGAGAAGGAGTAAACGTTTCCAGCTATTGCAGCTTAGAAACGCTGGGCAACTGGATACTTGCCTTCTTCAGCACATGCCTGTCTATGATAGAGAGATCCCAGACTTAGCGTTTCAGGTACGTGGTTTCTAAGCTATGGCTTATTGTATGATAAAGTTAATATTTTGATGTTTTAAATTCATCTCAATTTCCTTTTTTGTAGTTCTTACTCTGTGGACAGATTCTCTTGTCTTTGGGCATTAAAAATGTACAGATCGGGACCAGCAGGTGGCATGGTGGTTAAGGCGCTGGACACTCCCACATGGCTGACCATGGTTCAAATCCTGGACCTGGCAGCTTGCTTTCTCACTTTCTCTCTTTTTCTCTCTCTCTCTCTCTCTCTCTCTTTCTCTCTGTGTGTGTCTCTCCCTGGTCAGATTAAAATAAAATGAATGAATAAATAAAATTAAATAAAAATAATTCTTTTTTTTTTTTTGGAGAGATTTTCACTGTAGGGCACGTGCGCTAGCCAGACAGACAGAGAGAGACAGAGAGACAGAAAGCGAGAAATCACCCCCCAGGGGGGATGGTCACACCGCAATCCCTTCTCCTCCATTCTTCTCTCGGGATCTTGGGCACGCACGCACACGTGCCCAATAAAAATAATTCTTAAAAAATATATATAGATCTCCCAAATCTCAGAAAGTTCTTAGCTCAGCTTTAAAAACGAGTATTGTCTGAACAATGCATTTAACAGTCAAAATCCTTTTAATACAGTCTAATTGTATTTGTGTTATCATAAAATGCATCATCAATTTAAATGCAACTCTTTTTTTTTTTTTTTTGGAGAGATTTTTGCTGTAGGGCACTTGCACTCTCCAGAAAGACAGACAGTGACAGAGAAACAGAAAATGAGAAATCACCCCCCAGGGGTGTTGGCCACGCCGCAATCCCTTCTCCTCCAGTCTCTTCTCGGGATCTTGGGCACACATGCACATGTGCCTGGCATGAGTTTAAGCCACTGGGTCCAGGGCGGTGGGCGTCCAGTGACATAGCCATTACGCCAACTGCTGGTTCCTTTAAATGCAACTTTTAGGGGTGAGGGAGAGAAGCCCTACCTCAACAAAGATGTGATTGTGTTCTGAAGTGGAGACGTGATCATAAGGCACATCTCAGTTTCAGAACTACGGGGGAAGAAAGGGAGTGGTGGGAACCAGCAGTTAGCATAATGGCTATGTCGCTGGACTCCCATGTAGTCGACCGTGGTTCGTGTCCTGGACCCGGTGGCTTAAAACTCACGCCGGGCGCGTGTGCGTGCGTGCCCAAGATCCCGAGAGGAGAATGGAGGAGAAGGGATTGCGGCGTGACCATCCCCCCTGGGGGGTGATTTCTCGCTTTCTGTCTCTATGTCTCTCTGTCTGTCTGGCGAGCACACGCGCCCTACAGTGAAAATCTCTCCAAAAAAAAAAAAAGAAAGGGAGTGGTGGCTGGGGGTGCGCTGCGGCCCGGGGCACCACTGGTGAGAGCCTACGGTGTGCGTCTCTCCCAGCTCCCCTCCAGTGAGTTCTTATTCATCGCTTTAAAACTGCTGCTGGGAGAATATTTACACTATACACGTGCCATTTGGGGGCTTCTCCTCCTACTCTAAAAGAACCCTTTTATGTTTTTCATTTTTTTGCCATAGGACATGTGTGCTCACGGAGGAGACACAGAGACAGAGAAAGGGAAAGTGAGAAATCTCCCCCCTCCCCAGGGAACATGGTTCACAGCACAACCCCTCCTCTTCCATTTCCTCCTGGGATCTTGGGCAGGCACACACACCCCGTGTGAGTTTCAAGCCGCTGAGTCTGGGACCTGAACCGCAGTTGGCCATGTGGGAGTCCAGCGCCTTAGCCTCTACACCACCTGCTGGCCCTTGTTCCATAGACTTCTACCGGTGAAATACTGTGCTCAGTATGACTGGGTATGTAGCATGATTTCAATAAGAACGGTAGCAGTCCCTGCTTTTGAAGCTTGCTAACTCTCTCTATCTTACACAGACGGTTGAGGGAACAGAAGAGGTGAGGAAGTAACCCAGGTCATCTCCTTAGGCTAGTGACCTTTATACCAAAATGAGGCAAGGACTCTAAGCCGTAAAACCATTATAAATCAATTTCAGTTATGGGCACAGGTGAAAGACGGTGATAGAATGTTAAATTGAACGTCGGCGTCCTATGTATAGATAATACACTGTGTACACGACATCGAAATCAGGCCGCACGGCTGATTTAATTGGAAAACCTAGCAATAGAATTTACCGCATTCAAGGAAGGACGGGAAGAAAAGCATGTTTCTATTAATAAATGCCAAAAGCCATGTCATACCCTTCTGTGTTCATTCACAATGAAAGCTCTCAGCGTACACTAAAATCAGAGGGGAACTTGAAGCTAATGAAACGTGTGTCCACGGTTTGGATGTCCCTGCTGATGCACTGGGAAGAGGCGTTTCCCATCATCTGTCGAGATGAGGGTGAGGAGCCAGAGGAGGGGCCCCCGACACACACTGTTAGAGTCCGTCTCAGATGTCGGAGGCGGGGGTGCAGAACGTGCAGCCGCACTGAGACAGGGCAGGATGACTGTCACCAAGTTTGATGCATCTTTTCCCCTTGGGCTTCGGTATCCTGATGGGTGTAAGCTCCTTGAAACGTGCGCACAGTAGGACTCCGCCAGCCTCATTCTCTTTTTGAACCTATACAGTTCTTCCTATATGGCTGCCCTTCTGCCGGCCAGGATTATGTCACCTCCCAGAAGAACCCACACAGACACTGTGATCATGCTTCTCTTTGAGGACATGCTTACTAGCACTGGACTCTTCGGGTTCTTGAACCCAAGTGGGGGATCCTGAGGCCATGCCATCATCCAAGAGAAGAGCCAGGGCCCAAGGGTCCCTGAGCGACGTCTCTGTCCCCAGCTGTTCAGCATTCTTTTTTTTTTTGGAGAGATTTTCACTGTAGGGCGCGTGCGCTCGCCAGACAGACAGAGAGAGACATAGAGACAGAAAGCGAGAAATCACCCCCCAGGGGGGATGGTCACGCCGCAATCCCTTCTCCTCCATTCTCCTCTCGGGATCTTGGGCACGCACGCACATGCGCCCGGCGTGAGTTTTAAGCCACCGGGTCCGGGACATGAACCGCGGTTGACTACGTGGGAGTCCAGCGACATAGCCATTACGCTAACTGCTGGCTCCCGCCAGCTGTTCAGCATTCTGAAACCCTTTCCTTATCTCCCCCTTGACCGTCACCTAGTGCCCTAGTATCTGTACGCCTCTCAGCTGAGTTTGGGATAGGGATCGCGATCACAGCTCTGTTTTCTGATGGCTCCTACACAGGTACTGTACACGAAGAGTTTTCCCGCTGTCACAGCTTCGGGGTGGCCACCTTCACGTCTGCTGTTGAGCAGCAAGAGCTAACGGGTTAAGACAGAAGGAGGAAGGGAGGAAGGAGGAAGGAACCAGGACTAGAAAAGAGACAAAACGTGGGACCAGCAGTTAGCGTAATGGCTATGTCACTGGACTCCCATGTAGTCGATCGTGGCTCTAGTTCCAGACCCGGTGGCTTAAACTTCCGCGCTTAAACTCACGCCAGGCACGTGTGTATGCATGCCCAAGATCCCAAGAGGAAAATGGAGGAGAAGGGATTGTGGCGTGGCCATCCCGGGAGGTGATTTCTTACTTTCTATCTCTCTGTCTCTCTTTGTCTGGTGAGCGCATGCTCCCTATAGCAAAAACCCCCTCCAAAAAAAAAAAAAAAAGAAAAAGAAAAAGAGACAAAACTGTCCATGTCTGTGTAAAAGTCTTTTGTCTACATGGAAGATACAAACAGCTCTACAGCCAGCTGTCACAGCTAATGCATTCACTGATAGAATCTTCGTCTTTAGAAATGAGTAGCTCCTTTTGATTGCAAAAGGAAAACTGGACAGAGGGCAGACCTGTTGCTGCCATCTCAACTCCGTGACCCAACCTCATCGTATTCATTGCGGTCGTCAGAATAAGGGCCTCTAAGTGCGTCAGTCCCGATTCTGAAACCTGTGAGTGTGTTACACACGCTGCTAAACAGAGGGTGCTATCCCGGATCGTGTGAGTGGGCCCAGCTTAATTACATGACCCTTTAAAAGCAGAGAACTTTCTCCAGCTGGGAGCAGAAATATGCGGGGGAAATCAGAAATCATTCTGACCCTGAGAAGGGTTCCACCAAGCGGGTGCTGGCTCTGAGAGTTAGAGGCCCACACGTGGACTGGACACAGCCCCCAGCAGGCAGACCACGAAGGGACCCGACATCAGCTCTACAGCCGAAGGGACTGGATTCTGGCAACAACCTGAATGAGTATAAAACAAGTTCCTCCCCGAGCCTCCTGGTGAGACTCTGCCGACTGATGCCTTGATCTGAGCATTGTGAATCCTGCTGCAGAAAACTCCTGAGCGAACCAGTACTGCTCGGCTGCAGAACTGTGAGATAAGTCTGTGTTATTTTAAATAAGCCTATTTGTGGCACCTGTTCCGGCACCCACAGAAAGCTATTGATAGCACACAGGTAGAGGGAAATCCACACCTATTGTTTCCACTCTAAGACAACGTGAAACACACAGCAGCGGGAGTCTCCTTGTCAAGAATGTGTAATCTGCAGCTAATTGAAACTTTACACTAATTGCTCGTTTACATGAAATATGAGGGATGGGAACCAGCAGTTAGCGTAATGGCTATGTCACTGGACTCCCACGTAGTCGACTGTGAATCGTGTGCCATCTCAACTCCGTGACCCAACCTCATCGTATTCATTGCAGTCGTCAGAATAAGGGCCTCTAAGTGCGTCAGTCCCGATTCTGAAACCTGTGAGTGTGTTACACACGCTGCTAAACAGAGGGTGCTATCCTGGATCGTGTGAGTGGGCCCAGCTTAATTACATGACCCTTTAAAAGCAGAGAACTTTCTCCAGCTGGGAGCAGAAATATGCGGGGGAAATCAGAAATCATTCTGACCCTGAGAAGGGTTCCACCAAGCGGGTGCTGGCTCTGAGAGTTAGAGGCCCACACGTGGACTGGACACAGCCCCCAGCAGGCAGACCACGAAGGGACCCGACATCAGCTCTACAGCCGAAGGGACTGGATTCTGGCAACAACCTGAATGAGTATAAAACAAGTTCCTCCCCGAGCCTCCTGGTGAGACTCTGCCGACTGATGCCTTGATCTGAGCATTGTGAATCCTGCTGCAGAAAACTCCTGAGCGAACCAGTACTGCTCGGCTGCAGAACTGTGAGATAAGTCTGTGTTATTTTAAATAAGCCTATTTGTGGCACCTGTTCCGGCACCCACAGAAAGCTATTGATAGCACACAGGTAGAGGGAAATCCACACCTATTGTTTCCACTCTAAGACAACGTGAAACACACAGCAGCGGGAGTCTCCTTGTCAAGAATGTGTAATCTGCAGCTAATTGAAACTTTACACTAATTGCTCGTTTACATGAAATATGAGGGATGGGAACCAGCAGTTAGCGTAATGGCTATGTCACTGGACTCCCACGTAGTCGACTGTGATTCGTGTCCCGGACCCGGTGGCTTAAAACTCATGCCGGGCGCGTGTGCGTGCGTGCCCAAGATTCCGAGAGGAGAACGGAGGAGAAGGGATTGCGGCGTGACCATCCCCCCTGGGGGGTGATTTCTCACTTTCTGTCTCTATGTCTCTCTCTGTCTGTCTGGTGAGTGCATGCGCCCTATAGCAAAAACCTCTTAAAAAAAAAAAGATTCTGCAGTTTGCTACTTTATCATTTCTGTGTAGTTTCTAGTGCACTGGAGATATATATTGCAAATGCATATATATCAGACATGAATTTATTCTAAATTATGTAGTCGAAGCATTTCAAAAATCTCTTATTAATTTTAAGTGTAGTATTAGAGTTATTGATGGTAGTCAACACAGATGTTTCCATTAAATTTCACCAGCAAGCCTGTGACATAGTAATTACTATTATTACAGAAGAGAGAACTGGGCTCTGAAGCAACTGATCCACTTTCTCCAAACCATACACTTGATAAATAGCATGACAACTTGAAGCCAGGCCTGTCGGCCTCCAAACCCCTTCTCTTAACCACTGTTTACACGAACTCCCACTGCTTTGGTTCTTTGTGATTGCCAGGCAAACACGCAGAAGATCTTTCTGTTACCTTCACATTTTCACAGTTGTAAACTTTTTCTGTTACCACTTGCCATGACCTGCTGCAGGGGAAGATGTGGACCGAGTGGGAGCAATGGTGGATTTGGAAAAAACAGACACACTAGAGGAAAAAGCAGGGAACCGGTAGACCGTGTGTTTCTGATGGAGCTAGCTGGGCCCAGGTCTATTCTATTATAGGGCAAAGGAGCAGGCGAAGGTAAACCAGGTGTTTTCCGTTATCCACTGCAGCTGTGGACATCTGGCGTCTTGTGGTTCTTGCAGTTCTAAACAAGCCTCCCCTGGCCTTCTCTGGCTGAAAGTTTCCTTTGAGCTCCCTGGCTGTGCTGCATGGGTCCACGAAAGTGGGTCTGTGCCTTTGCTGTCTGTGAAGGTTACCGTGGTTTAGCTGCGATTAGTCCACTCCTTCTATTCCAACAGAATCCTAACCTGTTTCCTGGCTTCACGTTTTAAGCAAAGTTCCTTAGCATTTCTTTGATTTATTAAAGTTAAAACTGCTTTCTTGAAATTACCTGTGGAACTTGCTATTGAAAGTAGTTAGATTATTTAAGAAATTCTGTGATCAATAAAATGTGAGGGAAAAGGAATGGAAGACAACTGTAGACACCAGAGATAGTGTGAGAGGAGAGTGGGGAAGGGCAGAGGGTCAGAAATAGGGGTTAAAAAAGAAATATATATATATATATGTATGTATGTATATGTGTGTGTGTGTGTGTGTGTGTGTGTGACTGGAAATGGAAAATTATTGACGATAACATGCATGACTAAGCCACTATGCAGTATATTCTGGATGGGAAATCACATTTTGTATGCTGTGACGATGCTTAGGGAATGAATGTAAATTAATTTTTAAAAAGTTTCAGAAATGAACAAATAAATAAAATGGGGGGAAAAAAAGATAAATGGATCTCATCCTAGAAGCAAACAGAATTGTGAGTCATAAACTGTTTTCTTTATCTAATTGTCAGTGGGAGAATCTGAAAGAAATGTTTTCTTCTCTTGGTGCCAGAATATTACCAGTTTCCTTCTACACGTGAGCGGAAATGAACAGAAATATTTATTGCAGTGGGTCATATGTGAGATACACTCGGGAAGTGGAACTAATTTAATTTTTCATTTAGGAGTATGAGAGTCAGATAGAGAAGGATCTGCCCACCTCAGATGTGAATTCTATTACTGCACAAAGGATTAATTCCGCCAACCTTCTGGAAAAGGTAACGGCTGCAACCCACTATTATCAGTATGCTCACGTTTTCTTGTGTGAAAGCTGGACGGATGGATACGCAGCGTTACAGGCTTCCCAAAGATGTAGGTGGGAATTTGCTTCCTCAGCACCTCTTTCTTTCTTTCTTTCTTTTTTTTTTGGAGAGGTTTTCACTATAGGGCGTGTGCGCTCGCCAGACAGACAGAGAGAGACAGAGAGACAGAAAGCGAGAAATCACCCCCCCAGGGAGGATGGTCACGCCGCAATCCTTTCTCCTCCATTCTCCTCTCGGGATCTTGGGCACGCACGCACACGCGCCCGGCGTGAGTTTTAAGCCACCGGGTCTGGGACGCGAACTGCAGTCAACTACGTGGGTGTCCAGCGACATAGCCATTACGCTAACTGCTGGTTCCCCTCAGCACCTCTTTCTGATCTGAGGACTTCGCTGTTTTCTTCAGACTTCTTTTTCAGAGTTAGGTTCTTTCATTGATAGCGAACTCTTTATTAAAGCACCTCCCAACCTTCTTTTGGAGGTTTTTGCTATAGAGCGCATGCACTCACCAGAAAGACAGAGACAGAGAGAGACAGAAAGCGAGAATCACCCCCCAGGGGGGATGGCCACACCGCAATCCCTTCTCCTCCATTCTCCTCTCAGGATCTTGGGCATGCACACACACGTGCCCGGCCTGAGTTTCAGCCACCAGGTTCGGGACTTGAACCGCGGTGGACTACATGGGAGTCCAGCGACATAGCCATTGGGCTGACTGCTGGTCCCAACCTTTTTTGTTTAAACATAAATATTAAAGATTTTCATATTTTATTCGACTCTTGAAAAACAATTCAGAATTTTTCCCGAATCTCTACCACTTTTCCATTCATTCTTTACAAAAATTAGGAGTGGCACCAATAGTGTTGTAAATACCCTGGAAATATAAACAGTACATTTCTTTAAGTTTTATTTTTTTTTTTTAGGTGAGAAGGTTGATAATGAAAAGAATTGTCAAAGTCAGCAAATTCAACTTGTCAGATATTGTGACTGATTATGAAGAAATAGTATCTGCAAGGTGCCTACTAAAAATTACTACGTTTGAAATATAAAGCTTTAAACTAATATCTTCAAAGTCCTCTGAGTTCTATATTCTTATGTAATTAAGTTATATGTCCTAATAGAGCATAAAGTGAAATGTAGTGATTTAAAGTATATATGGGGCCAGTAGGTGATATGGTGTTAAGGTGCTGGACTCTCACATGGCCAACTGTGGTTCAAGTCCCAGACCTGGTGGCTTGAAAATCATGCGGCGCACATGTGTGTGCATGCATGTTCAAATCTCAAGAGGAGATTTGAGGAGAAGGGATTGTGGCATGGCCATCCCCTCGGGTGATTTCTCACTTTCCCTCTTACTGTGTCTCTCTGGTGAGCACATGTGCTGAATGGCAAAAACCTTTTAAAAATTTTTAAAATATAATATATATTTATTTATTTAAAAATTGCATTTTGAGGAGCCATCAAATGGCTTAGACTCCCCCATGGTCAACTGGGGTTCAAGTTCCAGACCCAGTGACTTGAAACTCACAGCAGGTGTTTGCATGTGTGCCGAAATTCCGGAGAGGAGAATGGAGGAGAAGGGGTTGTGGCGTGGCCACCCCCCTCCCGGGGGGTGATTTCTCACTTTCTGTCTCTCTGTCTCTCTTTATATCTCTGGCAAGTGTACATGCCCTATAGAAAAAATCTCTCTAAAAACAAAACAAAAGAAATCCCCCCCCCCAAATCCTGTATCTCTTAGACTCTTTATTTGTGTATACGGGCTAATTATTTTTTACTCTTTAGCCAGTTGACACATGCAGTTTATAAATTTGCTGCACCACGAAGAAAGTTAAAGCCTCTGAGGAAAGAAAGGAAAAGGGTCACAGCACAGACGGTCTCTGACGGGGACATTCAGATTCTCGTCAGGATACTGAGGGCTTATAATATTCCCGCCAGGAAAGCCGTGACTAATAGGTAAGGCAATATGCCCGTGTTCACACTTCCAAAAGGTCTGTCTTAAATGTCATCAATTTCCATGCTGTGCTATTTGTAAAATTTTGTACTTTGGGGCCAGCATCTGTCGTGGTGGTTAATGTGTTGGACTCCCACATGGCTGACTGTGGTTTGAATCCCAGACCCGGTGGCTTGAAAATCATACCAGGTGTGTGTGCGTACGTGCCCCAAATCATGAATGGAGGAGAAGGGATTATGGCGTGGCCACGCCTGCCCCCCCCCAGGAGGAGATTTCTTACTTTCCCTCTCTCTGTCTCTGTCTCTCTCCAGTGAGCACATATACCCTATGGCAAAGAAAAAAAAAAAGCCTTAAAGAAAAAGTGAAATAAAGTAAAACTTTGGACTTTATGTATGGACTACGCACTTCATGTGTGTTACGTGAATGAAGTTGAACTCATCATTTCGGAGAGTCACATCTACTGTCAGTGCCGTGTATTACGAGTTTTCAGAGCTCTGAGACCCCAAAGTAACTTTAACTTGCATATTTTGGGTTATTTGCCACATGCTCACCTTCTCACATGATAGCAAGTGCATGTCTTCTGTGCCCATTCCCTGTTGTGAAAATCCGGAGACTTCTGCTGCACAATGCTCTACTCCATCCCACGGCCCCCTCCCGTGCGAGAAGCAGAAAGTTAGTGGGCCACTCATTTCGTTTTAAGAAACCCCAGGAAAACTGTGAAGCAAATGCGGAACGGTTCATGAAGTCAGAATTGCTACTTACTCCTCGCTCTGTTCTGGACTTGTTTTGGGTGACAGAAGTAGATGTTAACTAAAAGAATTTCTTGTCTTTTCTCTCTTTTCTTTTTTCTCTTCTCTTCTCACCTCTCCTCTCCTCTCTTCTTTTCCTTCCTTCCTCCTTTTTTTTCTTTCTTTTTAAGAAGTGCTTTCATAAAAGTAGGACTCCACCTACGTTCTTGTATGTGCTCTGTGGGTTCTAATTGTGTTCCTGGTCAGGGATGGTAGGGCCAGAGCGGTCTGGCAGTGGCGACCGGCCGGAAGCCTCATGAACATTGGGTGCTCACATGCACTGGGGTACCTGGCGTTCCATACAGCTAGTGTCCTGAGTGATCATACGCTGACTGTTCAGTGCCCAAGTGCCTGAGGGTGTTAGGTATTCCCCTGTGTTTAACATGCATGTGGCTATTTTATGCTCACCACACCCGTTAATTGTACCTATTAAAAAACAAATTTTATCTATAAAGGTGGTTTTGCTTATTGTCTACTCGTTTATAGGTAAAACGTCTTAAAGGTTTTGCTTATGTTTTTACAAACCACACCTTCTTCTTTCATTAATAAATATTCTCAAAACAAATGCACACTTAAAAAGCTAACCTCTCTAGGGACCAGCAGTTAGCGTAATGGCTATATCACTGGACTCCCATGTAGTCGACCACGGTTTGAGTTCCGGACACGGGGGCTTAAACTCACGCCAGGTGCATGTGCATGCGTGCCCAAGATCCTGAGAGGAGAATAGAGGAGAAGGGATTGCGGTATGGCCATCCCCCCTGGGGGGTGATTTCTCACTTTCTGTCTCTCCGTCTCTCTCTGTTTGTCTGGTGAGCGCATGCGCCCTACAGTGAAAATCTCTCCAAAAAAAAAAAAAAAAAGTTAAGCTCTTTGGTGAAATAAGGACATGTAAAATAACCATAATTTTCTGTAATCATAATTCTGTACAAGGAATAATATAGCACCAACCAAGCAGGAAGGGTATATTCTCAAAGTGTCACTTGTCTTCTTTCTCTCCTCTTGCTGAATACCAGTGAAAAACGTATCCTCTACCGGACCCAATCCATAGCTTGGCATTTAGGTCAGCATTACTCTTCTGGGTATTTAGCTCTAATTATCTGAAACCTAAGCAAATCCTCTAAGATCCAGAGTAACTGAATTATATATCTCTATAAGCACAGGAAAAAACCTACCCACTCCTTCCAAAACTGATATTAAAAAGTGTTTAACAGACACAGGAATTCAGGTAGATGGGGCAAGCAGGCTGTGGAGTGGCAAAGCGTAACTGAGTGAAAAAACAAATAGACAGACATTGCCGATCTTTCAGTCACCCTCAGACGCGATGTTCTGGGGAAGCCACTGAATATTCTATTACCTTTGATTGTCACGGAAGGCACACGTGCACGCTTTGGACATCCATGTCATGCCCCACAAAGTTGAGTAACCATTAAATGTAAATGAAAATGTATACAATAAAACAAAATAAAATGGAAAACAAGCCTCACTAAAGTGTACGTCTCTACATTGTTTTTCCTGAAGAGCTGTGGATATGCCTGCCTACTTGGTCTCACCCACAGCCCGCCTCAGACACAAGGAAACTGTCACCTCAGCAGACGCAGCTGAGCTCAGCGAGGTCAGTACTAGCACTTCTGTCATGCGCACTAGCACTGTGTCTAGCACTGTGTCGGTTCTGTGCGTGCTGGATTGTACCGGGCTCCTAATGGGGCTGGGCTCTCCATCTGTTTTCTTCAGCTTGGAGGTTACTTTCGCCAACACAGAGAAGGGGTTCTTTATAAAACGTAATTCCAACCCTTTTATGCTCTGCTCTCAGGGTCTGTAGAGGTTCAGCTCCTTAGAAAGGCTACAGAATCCTCAGTGACCCAGCCTGGGCTTACCACGCAGCTGCAAGTCTGTCCGCCCTGCGGCCATACCGTATTGTTACCCAACTCAAATCAGGTCCGCTCACCGAAGCGCTATAAAACCAAGCCACACGCACATGGTGTGATGAAGGCAAGTTCAGCTTTATTGCAAAGCCCAGAGTAAGGAGAGCGGGCAGCTCATGCTGAAAAGACCCAGTCTCCCCGATATGTTCCCCACATGCGTTTTTTTCTTTCTTTTTTTTTTTTCCTTTTTTGGAGAGTTTTTTTTTCCTTATTGGGCGTGTGCACTCGCCAGAAAGACAGAGAGAGACAGAGAGATAGAAAGCGAGAAATCACCCCCCAGGGTAGCTGGCCATGCTGCAATCCCTTCTCCACCATTCTCCTCTCGGGATCTTGGGCACGCACGCACACGCGCCCAGCGTGAGATTTAAGCCACCGGGTCCGGGACGTGAACTGCGATCGACTACGTGGGAGTCCAGCGACATAGCCATTACGCTAACTGCTGGTCCCTCCCCACATGCGTTTTTAAGGGTAAAAATTAGGGGCAGAGGTCCGAGGCGCATGATCAGTTCGGTGATTGGTTTAAGAGGGCGCGATCATCTAATGGGCATTCTTGATTGGTGAGGCCTTAGATAATCAAATTCCTCTTCAGGTGTCTGGAGCCATCCAGCCTGGAGTCTTTGAGCTCACAACCAGCAGTTTCCAGCCTGCAAAATATCTTACAGAGTGAAATGAAAACCTTCTTTCCTTTGAGTGAGAGTTTTAGAGGTCAAATATGGCCCTCACTCATGGTCCATGTTGGTCATTATCATAACCAAAGTCTGAAGACTTACTCCTTACTCCGGGCCCTTACAATGCAAATGGACTTTATAATTCAGGAACCCTAGAAAATGCATTAGGGAGTCCTTGCTGGGTTTCAGTATCACTCACTACTGGGTCTGCAGAGTCCTGCTAGCAGTTGCCTTTGCCTGGAGTGGCTTCTGCATGTCTCCGTATTATTGGCCAAACCAGAGTTTTTCATTTATGTTCCAGAGCCCAGGGTCAAGGGCTGTTTGCTCTGTGATGGCGTCCTTGTCCCCACCCTAGGAAGTTAAAGCATTCTCTCAGGTGACTCCTACACCTTAAATACGTTTCTCGTGTCCTCTCACACTTCATGGCTCTTATTTACTTGTTTATTTTCCCCTGGTAGACTATTAAGTCCTTAAGAGAAGGATATATTTATTTCTAGGTCCTAGGAAAGTACCTGCTATAAAACAGAACAAATAGATGGTTAAGCAAAGGAGGGAATGATGGCTGTTTGGAAAAGTAGGACAGTTAAGTCATCCAGTTGCCAAGCAATTGCCTAGCCTTACACCTTTATTGACCGTGTAAGATATTGCAAAAACCTAGTCGATGTTTGTTGTTTCAGGATACGGTACACCCTTTTGTGGAAGTTTCTTTTCAACACACTGTCTATCAAACCAGCACCGCAAGTGGCTCCCACGCATGCTGGAATGAAGAAATTAAAGTAGACTTTGTGTAAGTTGGAGTCATTTTTCACAGCTCTTCAAAGAGAGCAATAGCAAAATTATTTTCTTTAGTCACTTATTGGAAATAATGACTGAGGTAGGCCTTATTTTTAAGCTTTTAATGAGCAAATCTTTCATACATAGTAACTAATATATAAAACATACAAGAGGTCCGCATTCAAAAAGTTTGTGGAAAAATGGGATTTTAAATTATGAGTTTATTTGAGTGCAAGAAAATTCTGAAATCCTAGGGTCAGCTAGTTGGCATAATGGCTATGTCGCTGGACTCCCATGTAGTCGACCGCGGTTTGAGTCCTGGACCCGGTGACTTAAACTCACGCCGGGTGCATGTGCGTGCGTACCCAAGATCCCAAGAAGAGAATGGAGGAGAAGGGATTGCAGCATGGCCATCCCTCATAGGGGGTAGTTTCTCACTTTCTGTCTCTCTGTCTCTCTCTCTGTCTTTCTGGCAAGCGCACAAGCCCTATAGCAAAAACTTCTCAAAAAAAAAAAAAAAATCCCGAAATCCATGCATACCTGTTTTAGAATCGATATTTCCCATGAACTTTCTGAGGACCCCTGGTATGTAAAGGCACGTCCTCGAGAAAAATCATGAAATGAGTGCTACACATGGACCGTCCAGCTGAGAGCCCGGAGCATCACCGGTGCCTTAGACACCTCTGTACCTGCATCATCCAGGGCCAACAGCACAAATAGGTGTTTATTAAGCAAATGAATGCATGATGGCTGTCTGAAAAACTAGAGAAACAGTAGTTGCTTCAGCAAACAGTGCGAGTGGCCTTTGTGAAAAGAGCAAAGATCCGGTCTTTGGGGTCAGTCAGAACTGGGTCCGGATCAGGGTCCTATCACTTGCCTGTGGCATTTTACCTAGTACCATGATTGAACTGCCCTGAGCTTCAGGCTCTCCGTGTAAAATAACCTGTCGACAGGATTGTGATCTTCATCGCCGTTTGACATTTGCAGACATCTTGTAGCAAGCTGGAGCTGAGAGTGGGAGTCCATCGCTCATGTCAGACACTGATAAGCTACTCCAAATATACCTTCTTCCGCCAGCCACCAACACGCAGCTTGTAAAATCAGGTGCATTGTGGGGACTAGCACTTGGCTATGTCACTGGACTCCCATGTAGTTGACCGTGGTTCGAGTCCAGGACCTGGTGGATTAAACTCACGCCGGGCATGTGTGTGTATGTGCCCAAGATCCCGAGAGGAGAATGGAGGAGAAGGGATTGCGGCATGGCCATCCCCCCTGGGGGGTGATTTCTCACTATCTGTCTCTCTGTCTCTCTCTATCTGTCTGGCGAGCGCACGTGCCCTATAGCAAAAACCTCTCCAAAATTAAAAAAAAAAATTAAAAATCAGGTGCACTCATTATCTGGTTGGAGAAAATACATGTAGGAAAGAGAATAAGCCTTGTGGATAAACAGTCATATCTAGTAACTGAGAACATACAGACATTTAACTGTCTGTGTGAACTAGCGAACACTAGTGAAATTTAACATATTGGATCATCGGGGAAGTCTTGAGTTTTCTGACGACCTAATAGTTGCCCGAACTGAATGCACCATACTCAATCCACATCGTTTGTTTGCAATGGATGGTGAGTGGCAGCTTTTCCGCCTGACATTTACATGTTTTTATTTGTCATCTTAAAAGAGAGATAAAATAAATTACGAAGTCCAGGCTGGCCTTAATGAAAGATAGCCCGTCTTTCAAACGTACAGCTTTTTCTTAGTTTATATTTTATGAAAGAACACAGGTGATGTTATAGTCTTTTATGGATAATGAGCTTTGAAGACAAATGGGTCTTGACAGGATTAAGCCTGTACGTGTGTTTTTCTCCTTTGCAGCTCGCCAGGACATGATTATAGCTTCTCAAGCTTATCCAAAATCAAAGATAATATATATATCAACATTTTCGATGAAATGATGATTGAAAACCATGAGGTAAAGAAGAAGAATTACAAAACCAAGATTGAAATCATTCTCAGGCCAAACTGAAGTCTAAGTAATATTTATATGTTTGCTTGTTGATGGAATATGTATATCCAATATTTTCTAAAAATAATTTGAGGCAATTTGGGATACAGTTGGACGTATGACAGAGATTCTAAACTGCCTGTAGAAGGAGGAGGAATAAGTGGACCGAGAATTTGGGAAAAACAAGTTTCTGCAATTGAACATTATATATAAATGTGAGCTGTCTAGTAGCCAAGATGAAAAGATAAAAATAGGTTACCTATTTTTCGTTATATGACCAAAGAAAATATGTCACTTCTACAAAAGAAACCGAATTATTCTTAGGACTAAATTCAGTTGCATTTAGTCTAATTTGTCAAACTACTGAATGCCGTCCTCACAGATGCGTGTGTTTCCAATACAACGCCTAAGGCCATAGCAAGCCCTGAAATAAATGTTAGTTTCCTTCGTGCTGACCCGGAACTACAGATCTGCAGAGGCGTCCGTATTCTAGGGGGTGGGTGTGGCAGTAGGTGGAGGTGAAGCGAGTGCTGTAGTATAAATGTCGACCAGTTCCTATTTCATTATTATTGAAGGACCAAGTTGATTCTACCTGAAGGGACTGGGGACCCGTCAGAGAAGCCAAATGAGCTCTTAGAGAGTAAGGTTCGGGAATGAGTCATAACGGCAATGTCTTCAAACCCAATTTCACTGAAGATAAGGCACACAGTCTTATTTTTTAAAAGAATTATTTTATTTAACTTTATTTATTTATTTACTTATTTTAATTGAACCGGAGATGGACAGAGAGAGAGAGAGAAGGAAAGTGAGAAAGCAAGCTGGCAGGTCTGGGACTCAAACCACAGTCAGCCCTATGGGAATCCAGTGCTCTTAACCACCATGCCACCTGCTGATCTCCACATTCTTTTTTATTTTTTTGGAGGTTTTTACTATAGGGTGCATGCGCTCGCCAAAAAGACAGAGAGACAGAAAGCGAGAAATCACCCCCCAGGGGAAATAGCTACACCACAATCCCTTCTCCTCCATTCTCTTCTTGGGATCTTGGGCACGCACACACAGGCACCCAGCGTGAGTTTAAGCCACCAGGTCCGGGACTTGAACTGCAGTCGACTACATGGGAGTCCAGCAACATAGCTATTATGCCAACTACTGGTTCCATGCCCCCACCTCCTTATTAAAACATTTTTAATCAACTCTTGATAAAGGCTGAGGGTAAAACAATAATTTTTTATGACTTTTCTCCAAAGAATTGAGTTTTCTGATACTAATATGAAACAGATAACGAGTTCACTTTAAAAACTCCAAAGAAGGGCCAGCAAGTGGCATAGTGGTTAAGGTGGCTGGATCCCACATGGCTGACTACAGTTTGAGTCCTAGACACGGAGGCTTGCAAAACACATCTGGTGCATGTGTGCGCGTGAGCCCAAAATCCCAAGAGGAGAAGAGATTGTGGTGTGGTCATCCTCTGATGGTGAGGGGGAGTGATCTCTTGTTTTCCATAACCTTGCTCTCTGTCTCTCTCTGGCAAGCACATGCACCCCATAATGCACCTATTAACAGAAGTGGATTACCTTGATGGCTGATGAGAGCAGACTTGAGCATTCATTAACAGCTGAACTCTTGCAAGTGTTTTGCGATGTTATTGGAATGAGATTCATTTCCTTTAGGTTGAGACCTGTTTGCAACAATATCAGCACATTGTTTAAAAAGGAAAGGGCCTTTTATTCTTACCTTCCTCTCTCACATGGGTTGCAAGGTAACTATGGGCCAAAAACATTCCATTTTCTCACAAAAGCCATAGAGCTAGGTTGGGCCCTGAAATGGCCATCCAAAGGTTTTGGTTTATAAGACCATTACCATATCTAGGAATGCTTCAGTCTTCCTCTTCTTTCTCTATGACCCCTCTGATAGGTTTTCATCCTGTAACTGACCATCTCCTACTTCCTGCGTAAGTTACATGCTGGAAGGAGACTGAGGACTTGTGAGTCACAGACACATAGCCCTGTTTGTTTTTTTTTTTCAGAGAGAGATTTCTGCTCTCTCACTGGAGAGACAGAGAGACAGTAAGCGAGAAATCACCCCTCAGGGAGGATGGCCACACCACAATCCTTTCTTCTCCATTCTCCTCTTGGAATTTTGGGCACGTGCACACACACAAACACACATGCACGTGCCTGGCGTGAATTTTAAGCTACTGGGTCCAGGACTTGTACCTGGCTGACTACATGGGAGTCCAGCAATGTAACCATTAAGGCATCAGCTGGTCCTGGCATATAACCTATTTTTAATCCTGGGGATGACAGAGGTGGACTGAACTGAACCCGGAGCTGGCAAAGCAGCTCTGAGTACCACTCCTGATTCAGAGTACAGGTTAACTAAAACTGTAACAAAAATTCTGGTGCTACAAAAAAACTTAAACTAATCCAATACAATAGGATGTTAGTTCAAACACGTACAAAAGAGAAAACTTGTTCTTTAAGATGTTGTATTTTATCAGCTGTCGATGGAAAAAAATAACCAACTGTAAAATTAATAATTAATAATTAATGCAGTTTATTTCCAAGTCAACTGTGAGTGACCTAGGCCCGGAGAAGAGGCATACAAGCCTTTTCTCAGGGTGATCATGTACAGAGGTTCCTTTTATTTGTTTTTGAGATTGACAGACAACATTTAGTGAAAAGATTTTCCATTGGTCTGGCCAAAAAAAGGCGGGACATGTAGAAGGGGGGGGGGCTTGTACGTT